GTAACAGTATACTTAACTAACTTCTCAATCACTGAACAAACTGAAAACTCACTCAATGCTTCACTAATTTTCGTATTTATAATATATCCTTGTTTCTGGATATTTCATAAAGTTTCTCGAACATTAACATTCACCAACATTCTAGTTATTCAAAGTCTACTTTTATATACTTTCTAAATCTAGCATAAACCTGGCGTAGCTTGGTAGTTATGGCATCACCTCGTTATATGCGAGTCGCAGGTTCGAACCCAATCACCAAGCGTGCTCAGTCGCAGGAGCGTATATAGTGATGATCAATGTCACTATTCGATTGAAATAACCCAATAATCTATTACTTATAAATTAGAGACTGCTAGCGCAGATAGATCTTGAGTAGCTTCGCGTAAAATTCAACAAACAAATCTAAAGTGCCATCATCATCATAGTAGCAGCTTCCTTTAGCAAAAAAAACAAACAAATTAAAACATTTAAATACAGCTTACAATAATAATTCTAAAATTCATTCGTAACTAACCGAAGAAGAACAGTTTTACATTTTTGGTCGTTCTCTTTTGATATAGAATCACACGAGAACGTTTAATTTCAAATTATATCAAAAAGCTGCCACATGTATATGATTGTAACTTTACAAAAAATAATATGTGGTTGTAACTTAACAAAAACTTTAATTTCTCCATTTAATCTCCAAAATTTTAAGAAAAGTGAATACTATTTGTTCTTATATCCATATCAATTCAGCGTTAAACTACCTAAAAAAGCTTGGTTAATAACTAAAAAAAACTAACTATATAAATAAACATTTTCTGTCCGCAAAAAATAAATAAATTATGGAATCGGAATACAAACTAAACACATCTAGGAAAACACCTGGCATACGATAATATGTTTTGTGACACGTACGTTTTGGCTTGAGTTTAAAAAAAAAATTAAAAATAGAAGAGCATATCGAGACACAAGTAGGGGTTGGATTTAGATTTTATATGTATTTATTTATTTGAAAAAAAATCATCGTAGTATTAAGTTGTATTTTATTAATGTAATGAAATTGAGTTAAAACTATAAGTGAAATTGGCACATTTCTTTAATGTGACACTTGTATGTGTGTTCTGTGGGTAGGACGATAGTAAAGTTATTGAATTTGAAGACATTATTCCGTTTTTGTGTTAATTGTTTGACATATTAAAATTAAACAGCCTCCCATATTAAGAAAGTTCGAAAATTTTAAATAGGTTTACTATATTAACTTATAGTTTGTGCTTTAGTCTGGACTCCTTTTGAAATATAAGCAAAAATCATCTGTTGATAAGTGTTAATAATACTTTTGCAAATAAACGAGGGTAGTCTAGCCCAAGATTTAGGTTGTAATACTAATAGCAATACTAATACTATAATATATATTTCATGTCATCAGATTAATGAAACAAATAAAGTTGATAGAGATTTGAAAGCAGCATTAACGTTAGAACTTGACTGTTATTGTTAGAGCCTGATTGTTTTGGGCAGTTAGTAACACCAACACTTACCCAGAATGTATGCACTAAGTTTCGTCGTACAGTAATTTTGAGTAAACGCTAATTAGTTGACCATAAGTACAGTCTCGTTAAAAACTATATGCATATATATAACCATTTTGGTACAAATTAATGTTGTATATACATATTTAATTTAGATTATAAGCCTGTATTATGTGAAACATGCACCATACTAAATGATTTAGTAATATAATTAACTAAACTTTGCTTTAAATTTATTATTGAAAATACTATTGCTTGTATAGTTATGTAAACACCTTTGTTTATGTATTATATCAAATAGTTATTCTTAAAGTTACACCCTAGATATTACATATTAGTTTGTATTAACAACAATCTGTTTGCGTAGGATGCGTCTGTGACCTTTTTCATAAAAAAAGGCTTAATCTTAGTGTGTCTGGTAAAACTTAGTGGATAACTAAGTGTAGAATGTTCAAAGGTGGATGCACTGAGAATTTTTTAATATTGTTTTGTTGGTAATATACTTTGTGTACTTGTAATATGCTCTTTTCCTAGTGAGCATGCATCATAGTTATTTTAACTTTTTTTTTTATATATGCATGGACATAGACCGGCTGGGTTCCTCGTGCCTAGGCACCCACATTTTTCAGAGAGAGAAAACATTTTCTAGCTATAATTTGACATATTTTGCAAAATACAAAAAAGCAAAACAAATCATGCATATATTGGTAAATGGCTACCATGTTACTGATGAGGAAAAGCATTCACTTACACATTATTTAAAATTATGTTCTCTTGATGAGTAATTTTTGTCACTTTCTATTAAAAAATAGAATATTGCATGTATGCTTGTAACAAGCATGCAATGATATATGCCTTATTTTAGCTTTGCCTAGGTATAAACTAAAAAGGCACATACTGTAATAAATTTATGCTGTCATTTTTTTCCTTGGAGTTGGAGTTAATACACTGCAGATGAAATGAGTGTTATTGCCTGTTATGCATGTATATTAATGGCTCCTACATAAGGTTTGTTAACTATAATTGTAAATGGTGTGTGTGTAATTGCATTTATGATGCTGGAAGCCTTAAAATTTAATCACACATTATACTGCTGTAGCACCATTTTTGAGTGATATTTGCACACTTCAGTTTGCAGAGGTTTTGTCACATAAGCATGGATGGTTATTCATCATGTATTCAAAATGAAATAAAGCAATATTTATGTGTAAGTAATCAAATTTTGCTGTTTGAAATTCTTACATTTGCATTTTATATTCAACAATTTGGTAATTACTATTACAAAGTAAATGTCATGAAATAAGTTGTTCAACAAACCATACATGTCATAAAATTATTTATTAATTTTCTTTTAACTATATTAAATCAAACAAACTAGCCAATTGTTAGGTGCTAAATAAATATATAAAGCAGTATTACTGTGAGGTTAGTTGAAAAAGATAAGCAAATCATATACAAAGTAAAAGTATAATCCTACTGTATACCAAAATCATTTCTCCATCCCTCACATACTTGTCACAAATGCTTTTGGAACTAAAAACTAGTGATGACCCACATTTTTTTGCTTTGGCTATGCCCATGGTTATGCACAGCCATGTAAAAGAAAAAAAAGAATTTCATGCTAGTAGTACATTTAACTTTCTGTTTAGTACAAGGAGATAAAGAAAAAAGAAAATTATGTTTCAATCTTGTATAAAAATAGTGTAGACAGTGAATTAAGAAAACCAGTTGAAATCATAGTGCATATAATTACCTAACTTTTTGACTATTGTATGTTGTCATTCTCAAAGATTTATAGTCATCTAGTAGAGACAGTAGTGTAAGGGTCTTCTTTCCACGCTGATTTTTCCAAGCCCGTTCCCTTGGCTGTGATTTCGCTAGATAGTAGAATAAGAGATTTTTGAGTTATATTGAAGTTAAGGATGTAATGTCATCATTCACATCTTGTAAAGGTGTAATTTATATTTAAGATACTAATATTTCAGTTTATAAGAAGATTTATATGAGATTTATGTTTTTTGTCTTTGCCATAACAGATTTTTAAGAATAGCTTTACCGTGATTGATTTTCCTCATATGACCAATAATAAAAACTTGTCTATTGTTGTAACTTTTATTGTTTTGTTGCGTCTCCCAATTGCAAGGTTTGAACCCATGACTGCTTGACTATAAGCATGTGCTTTACCAACTGAGCTAAAGGGTTAACCCACAATCCAACCTGCTTCACTAAAATTAAAACAAGCTTATGATACAGGATTCTACCACCTCAAACTGTCAGTCTTCAAATCTGAAATAGCATTGTACTGTAGTACATTATCCCAGTTGTTCCTAGCCTTTTTATATCATGTACCCTCCCCCAGTCAGAATTTTTAGTCATTGACATACCTTTGACACTCCTAATTGGTATAAAAAGAAATTAAGAGGGACTTGTATTAATAACAAAATAAATTAATCAAAAGAAATAGTCTTGAGTAAGTCAACAGTATGCAACTATTGAATGCTGGCTAGAAGAGTTCATTGTTAACTCACAGAGACTGCCCTCCTGTTTTTAGGTGTAAGGTTTATTTTGTTTTTAATGTTTCTCAAAGATGTTTATGTCCCTTGGGGCTATGGATACCATAGGTTGCAAACCACTCTCCTATCTAACCAAAAACATCTCTTACAATAACATAAATATGACATAAAAGTTGAGGACAAGGGACTTGTTGATCCATCTTGGTCATCCCATTCACTAAACTAAACTTTAAAATCCAAATCAAACAGTTAAATTCAGCCATTATCATTCAATTATTTATCAAACCTTCATTTAAACTCCCTTACATTTACTGTATCCACCACATCTTGAGGCAACCCATTCCAAAGGCCAACTACCTGGTTAGAAAAATATAACTGTCTTGGCTGAAGATGACTCGTACCCTGCCAAAACTTATATTTATGTCCCGTAGTCTTATCATTCCCATCATTAAGTATGAATGTATATCACTTCATGAATAAAAATCTTGTGGTTCATATTTTCCACACTGATTATGCAAAGTATACAATACAATTAAACTTAATGATTTCAGACCCTTATTCCTGAAATAGATTGAAAGAAGCACTGAAACCGTTGTTGAGTAATCAAATGATAATGTACTAAATTTAGTAACTCTATAGTATTGGTAACATGTTGTCATAAGTATTGATTAGGAACAAAAAAACTATTTGCCCTTCTTCGATCAGAGAATTGCCCATTTAAAAACTCCTATCCAGTTTTTTGTTTTTCAAATCTTAAAGATATAATGATTTAACATACTAATTAGTTTTTGTGTGACTTCTTTTCAGAGTCTTTGTGATAACTAAAATAGAAAACATCTGCTAGTGTACCTTTCGTTAAAAGATAGAACCTCAGTTAAAAAACTAAACATTGGTGAGACAAAATAATAATTTTTGAAATCATACTGCTTTGTACTTTTTTGAACCAGTTTCAAAGTAAAATCTTAACTTACTTACCATGTTGAGTAGGGAAACCACCTTTTACAATTTTAAGAAACTTCACAGTTCCTAATAAGTAAGTTAATCATCCTTAATTAGAATCTTCTTTTTCAGTATTATTATTTCTAGCATCTGCTAATATTAACTTTCCAAACATATCCACCTCACAACCAATAACATGATATATAGCATTAAAAAAATCACTAAACTTTTTTTTAGGTCTGCAATAATATGTCTCTCCAAAGCATTTTGCCCATCTTTGATGAACAGAATAATACCTACCCTTGTTTTATTCTCACATTCCCTAAGAAAAAACCCTACAATCCTCAAATATCATGTTATACTCTTAATTCAACAAACTCATAGTAATACAGATTTTTATAAGTTGTTGAAAACCTTGTTTTTTGAGCAATTCATTGCAAAAACTTTATACAATCAACTTTCAAAGACAATATGTAGTCACAGTTGTAAGCAGTATTTTAAGTCTAGCATATCTTCATCGCAGTAAACCAGGAGCGTATCCAATGGAGTGGTGTGGGGGACAGAGCTCTACCCCTCAGCAGCAGCAGTCCCTCTATCTTAGATATGTCTTGATTCCCTAAATTGTGACTCCCACTTACATGAAAATTAATTTTTTCTGCCCCCTAACTAACTCTTTGATCCTTATGCCCCCCCCTACAAAAAACAAATCCTAGAAATGTAGTAAACTGATTCCCTTGTACCTGTTTATTAAACAAACTTCATCGAAAGCTTCATCAAATATTCTTATTTCTGTTCGGGCTAGATTTTGTACATATTACATAGATAATTATTCCAAGCTTTTAAATCTGCCCTTTTATTTTTTTTATATGTTCTTTCCTTTAAAGTTTGTGAAGGAATGAAAAAGTCACTAGCATTTCTGAAGCTACTTTCCTTAAATCTTTTAAGTATATAGTCATACGTAGCTAACATTTCCTTTGATTCATCACAAATTATCATTAGAACTAAAGTGTACTGCAGAACAACATTTGTATCTGTCACTGAATTAACTTCTATCTACAATATTCTATACATTATTACCTATTAACCAAACTAAAATTTCATTCTTTCAGTTGGCTGTTCTGTGAAGAAACCTATCAATGAACCTATGAAATCTTCTTCCCTTTCACCTTCCTTAAAATAACAGAAACAAATGTGTCATTATATAAAATATTTTAAGGTTATAATCTGTTGTACTAATACATCTGAACTTATGCCTGTAAATTACTTTTCTTATTTCCTTGACTAATGTTTCAAATGATAATTTGCTTTTGGCTGAAATGATCTTTCTTCTTTAATATCACAGATTTTAAATCTTTTCTAACATCTGGCTTCTAAATGTTTGAGAGAAGATGATAGATATGAGCTCTAACCTGACATTTCAAGATTCCCATACAGTGGTAGGCCTCCTTTTTTAATAAATCTTGTTTAATTAGACAGTTTGCAATACTCTTAGTGTATTTTTGTAGAAAAAAATTAATTATATCAGAGGTTTTCTTCATAATTATGTCATATATATATATATATATATTCAAATTATTGTTCAAACATTTTCTTCTTGTCTACATGGCTTGCTGTACATAACTCTGTTACTAGTATTACTGTTCAGTGGCTTATATTATGATTATATGAATTGTGTCTTTATTTCAGTATTATATTTTTAATATTTTTATAGCCATATTTTGCAGGCTTCATCCAAACTTTTTTTTAATGTTTTTTTTTTGTAATACATAGGCTTAATACTGGCATTTTTCCAAATGTTAGCAAATAGTTTTAGGTAGAGTATACTAAAAAAATGTTGACTGTAACAGTGATGTAACTTATATTTTTTCTTTCTTTAATGTTACTTTCGTTAACAGTATTGGTTAGAATGGTTAATGTATCTAGTTTTTTTTATATTTCTATTTCCGTAAGAAACATAAGATACTGGCAAACTTCATTATTATCTCGTGTTATCCTTCTTTTCTCAAGAGAAAATAAGAGATCTTAACCTCTCCTTGTGAGATGACCATTGCATCCCAGTAAATATCCTTCATTTGAACCCTTTCTAACAAGTCAATATCTTTTCTTAGATAAGAAAACTAAAACTTTGTGTATTATTCTAAGTGAGGCCTAACTATTTATTTCTATAGAAAGAGATCTCTTTTATATTTTTGTAATCAATATGTATTATAAGTACACCTCACAATTCTATTACTTTTACTACTAGCAACAGAGTTCTTGCTTAGATAGCTTGAGTGGCTTACCTGCCACTGTGCAAAGGTTTTTTCTTCAGTCATGCTAGGGTTGGTTTCCATTTATATTAAACATGTGGTCCAAATTATTATAACTGAAACTCATTTCTTTACACTTACTATAATTGAAAGTCATTTTCCAAATATTTTTGTGATTACCAACTGATCCAAGTTATTCTTTAATTCCTCAATGCTGCTAGAAATACCCAGGACTTTAAGCATCAGCAACATTAACTAATTGATTTTTAAGTATTGTGTAAAGTAGAGAACACAAAGGCCCAGCACTGACCACTGAAGTGCTGGACGTCATTTATAACACATTTTGTTTTCTATCAGTGTGATTTTTTTTAGCTGATGTTAATAAGTCAGACTTGAAAGTTGCATTGTTGATGCTAAATCATGCAGTTAGTCCAAAATTATAGAGTCATTATGACTTGCACACTTTAGTGAATGAAAAATAATATAATAATGTGATACAGTCTGTACTAGCTTTACCTTGCTAAAAGTATCTCATTAAACTTACAAAATAACTCTAACTTCTTAAAAATGATTCAAAAGATAAATTTGTCAGCTAGCTCTCTATTCCAGTTTTCTTTAATGCTTTAATGCATTTCTTTAATGCTTTAATGCACCAGATTTATTACTTAAATAAATTTATGAGGTGAGTGTTGTTTTAGAGTTACTGTGTAAGTTTAATAAGTTACTCTTATGTGGTATTTTCAGGTAACAGTTATATCCTCTAAGAATAAGATAGGTCCACAAAATAATGGAAGATTTGTCGAGATATTTACTGTGAAGTAATTCTTTATACTATGTTTTACCAAGTTCATGAAAAAATAGACTAAACACAAATAAACAATTACAAAACTTGCTTCCTACAACATCCAGTTGCCTTTACTTGAGAGTTAGCTCTGAGTTGTTTCTAGTTTACATGGTCACAGTCTTATATCACACTATCCTTATTGAGATCCTGTTCCGGAATGAATAAATTTCAAGTTACTTAGTTAACTCATTAACATGGGATTTATCCAGTGTGACTAGATCTTTCCATGGCTGATCATTCCTAATGAAACATAAGGGAGATCATATCGGCTATCTTTACCGTGGGAAGGCAAAGTTGCTACTCAGTGAATAACAGAACAAGAGTTAGCTGGAAGGAAATGAACTTAATGACCTTCTTGATCAATGTGTTAAATGGAAACTATACATACCTGCACAAATAACACATTTTGAAAAATTCCTATATTAATACAAGGTTGAAAACACATGGTATGGTACAGACTGTAGCACTATTTCTTATTTCTTTACTAAAGTAACCTAATTTAGAATCATGACTGCTTTCAAAGAGATTCCATAATTCTAATATATATTTGGGAGGGAAGTTTGAGGCTGGTAGTGTATTAGGTTAAAAAAAAACCTAAGTAGAAGTGAGTAGTTCTTCATAATATTTAAAGATTTCATGAAAATAATAGGCCATTATTATTATTCAAAAAGTCTGAGATACTTCAGTCCTGAAAGTAAAAGCCTGTAAACTAAGAAACATCTCTCAGTACTTTTGTGTTGCTATACTATACATAAGAGTCTTGGTCACTAATATTCTTCAAAATCCTTGGTCTTTTAAGGGTTAATTCATTTCTAACTAATGCAATGATATGCTGGTTATATGATATAATACTTAATTCTTTTGAATTTGTTTAGAAAATGACCGAAGGAGAAAGATGGTTGGCATCTATGACATACAGCCTCTTCGTAGCCCTTGCCATTGTGTGTTTGTTTTTGCAGTACCTGGCACAACGTACTAAATCCCAAGTGTCCTCAGGAAACAACAAACACTTTCTACAGTTCCAGAAGAAGTACTTCATAGTTTACTTTTTAGCTTTGTTTGGAGACTGGCTTCAGGGACCTTATGTCTACAAGCTCTACAGTCACTATGGATTTGTCGAATCCCAGATTGCAATGTTATATGTGGTGGGATTTGGTGCGAGTGTTTTGTTTGGAACAGGAACAGGAGCTCTTGCTGACCGATTTGGACGGAAAAAAATGTGTATATGTTTTAGTATAATGTATTCTCTGTGTTGTTTAACAAAACTTTCCCCAAATTATTATGTATTAATGCTTGGTCGATTTTTGGGTGGGATTTCAACTTCTTTGCTCTTTTCAACTTTTGAGTCTTGGTATGTTTATGAACACACACAAACTTATGATTTTCCTACTGAATGGATTTCGGTAACATTTTCTAAGGCTACTTTCTGGAATGGCATTCTTGCTATTAATGCTGGTGTTGTGGCAGACTTGACTTCTGAGTGGTTTGCATTTGGTCCAGTTTCTCCCTTTATTGTTGCCATTCCATTTCTTCTCCTAAGTGGGGCTCTAGTTGCACAGATGTGGAATGAAAACTTTGGTGACCAAACCACACACTCATTTAAAGCTTGTATGGAAGGTCTGAGCTTGATTCTCTTGAATGAGAAAATTTTGCTGCTAGGTATTGTTCAGTCAGTGTTTGAAAGTGCTATGTACATTTTTGTCTTTCTTTGGACACCCATTCTTGACCCTGGAAAGCCCCCTCTTGGGATGGTATTTTCAGTTTTTATGATTTGTATAATGATTGGGTCATCAGTGTACCAGTTACTTTCTGCCAAACATGTGTCTTCTCAGAAGATTCTTACTCTGGCTGTATTTCTGTCTTTCTTTTCAATGTGTTTATGTGTTATATCAACAAATCCCCAGGATCCAAAACTTATGCTTTCTTTTATAGCATTTTTGGTAATAGAGATTTCTGTTGGCTTATACTTTCCATCTATGAGTTATCTTAAAAGTCAAGTGATCCCAGAATCACATCGTGCCAACATTATGAACTGGTTTCGAGTGCCATTGAATATTATTACTTGTCTAGTACTTCTTTGGTTACATACAGAAGATAGTAAGGCTGGTAATCGCATTATCTTTGTTGATTGTTCCCTTATGATGTTTATTGGTGCTCTCGTGATGTGGAGGTTAGATTCCTTGTTGGCCCACGAAGATGTGACAAAAGGTGGCAAATCTAGTTTTCATGAAGAGGTCTGACCTTTCCGTTTCTTTCAACACAAGTTTTCCCTTGTTTTTTTCACATTTTCAAACTCTTTGGTATCTAGTCCATTGTCTTCTCACAATGTGTTTCAATTTCACCTTTTCATACAAACTTTTAAGGTTTTTGATAGCGTTTACCTTATTATTTAATTTCTGTAGAAGTTATTAAATTTCATTGCGACTTTTCATCAGCCTCAGTGTAATTTTGTCAATTTTAACAAATTTATTGTACCTGGAACAGTATGAATGGTAATGGATAAATTGGCTGCATATGTACTTAAGTTTATGTTAGTTACAAAATTTTAACCGTATAACCTGGGGCTCTGTGTTTTCTTTATTCTTAGAAATTACATGATTTCTAATTTTTTTTAAAAGGTTAACCCTTGGTTGAAGCACTGTTATCTGTGATATGTGTAAGCCAGTTTATTTTTCATAAATATTGTGCATCATTGTATTCAAGGAATATATTCAAGTTTATTTACAGGTAATAATATACTAATTTAAAGTAGAAGCATTTATATAAAATTTAAAGAATGTTGTAAATATCACTTATTTTGGTAGATTTGAATTTTATTTAAAATTGGATGCTTCACCCATTATCAAAATGCAAGGTGTATAAAGAAATATTATACTTTCATTACCGTAACAATATTGCTTCCTTTTTTGTGCAGTAATGAATTTAAGTAAGAGAAAACTTTTTTTTTATGAATTGTAGTTCTACCACTGACTTTCAATTTTGTTAGCAGTGTTTAATGTTGACTAATGATTGCTTACTTGAAAGGAACGAGAATGTACATGTTAATTTTAGAATTTCTGAGAAGTACTTATGTAAATCAGTAAGCTGAGTGTTTGTGATTTTTTTTTCAAATTCATAATTTTAATATGCAATTATTGATTCAAAATTCAAAAATATAGATTATTATTCAATTACAAAATATATTGGTATTGCATTATTAATTTACTGAGAATAAATAGTTTTTCTAGAAAAAAACATTAATTTACTTTGACTTTATGAAAGATTTAGCATACCAGAACATTTATTCTTTTTTTTTATTACAATTATATTTAATTAACCAGTTCTACAACAGACTTTGTGTCAGTACTTACATAACTGCAAAGAAAGTTAGATGTTATAAACAGAATTGGGTTTTTAAGTAGTTTTATATAGCTTCTAATGCATATGGGAAATTAACAAGTTTTTATTTAGGGGTTGGAGATGATACAATTAAAATTTAAAACCAGAATAGTTATTTGTCCAGGAGAAATAAAACAAAAAGCTAACCAAAAAATAACTGGGGCTCAAAATTAATAAAATAAGTACACATTAAAGAGAAATAGAATATAATTCTAAGTGAACAAAAAAGAAAAAAAAAAAAAGATAGTAAAAACAGAACAAGACCCTAATAATTTAGGGCATATTTTTGGGTTTGTTCTTTTTTTGTTTTTATTATTTTTTAATGTTGCTTATTTTGTTCATTTTAAAAGCTTAATTTTGATTTTATTTGTCTTAGACAGTTAGTATTCAGGTTTTAAAATGTCAGTTGTCTCTATTCACCATTAAGTTCATCTTCTTGACCTTTTCATTTCAGTCTTAATCTTTGTGTTTTGTTCTTTTGTGAATAATATACTAAACTTTTTTGTTTGTTTTTTAAACTTAATACAAATTAGTATTTCTTTTATCACAATGTAACCTTTTCTCTTGTAGAATTCACTATTAGAAACATGCATTGTTTTCTGTTATGACAATCACTGCAGGAGTAGGATCACTAATTTTACAGACACCATTTTTTTTATATGTGTATGGAAAAAAAAAATACTTTGAAGAGTAATATACAGATTTCAGTAATGTATGACATTGTTAAGTGTTAATCTGGAACAAAATGTCAGTCTTTGTAAAAGTTGGTGAGGCATGAAAATTACATAAAAACAATGTTAATTTGATAGAAGAATGGACTATTAGGAGCAGTGGAGTTGGAACAAGAGTCGTATCCTCTTTAATTTTATGGGGAAACATACCCCTTCCCATATTTTCGATATGTTTGTGTTTCTGAAGTTATATTAAATAACTATAATTTGTATGATATAGGGAAGGCCATGCCACATATCAGCCAGTTGGTTTGTATGGGTATATTTTGACAGATATACTGTATGGCTTGTTACACAAAGCCATTGTTTCCTCTTCCCCACTGTTTAAAATATTTTGTATAAATTCACAAAACTATTTGAAACTTGTTTAGGTTATAAAGCATAGAAATGGAGTTTCTTCTAAATATCATGATGCTTTTCCTGACAGACTTTACTGGACTTAAGAAAATAATATGTAAATTCTTGAGTATAAATACATACACGTAAATATATGTACAAAAACATGGAAATTTTCATGCTTTATTGTAAAATTGATTTGTAATTTGCTTTACAATCTGTGTTTCCTTTATAATTATCTATGAAGTAAAACATTTCATAATCTCTGTGCTCTAGATTATGTTATATGTTGGGAAAAATTTAAACATTGTCTCTTGATGTTCATTTAAAGTAAAGTAAAATAAAATCAGGATATCCAGACAAAAAAGTACAATGTATTTGAGTAATGATACGTATGAATTATTCATCAAAACTAGATATTCAAACCTAAGCTAAATAATTTTAGTTGAATTATTACAATATGATTTTTTCAGGGATGGGATTATATACAAAGCATCTTTCTGTATATTTCAGAGATTTGTTATCTAAAATATTAATAATAAGTTCTGCACAACAAAGCTCCAGGATATATAATTCAATATTACAGTTTGTTTGTAAGAATACATAAATGAGAGGATGTTTTTATTTGAAAACATAATTCAAGTTAAATCTTTATTAATATGCTATTTGATGGTATTAAACATGGAGGTTTTTGTTTTTATTATCCAATGTTCAGATATGTTAAATGTTTAATAAAAAAGTTTGTTTGAGTTAAGTTGTTTTATCCAGTTGCACTATCTTTTAACAAAATTTTCTGAATACATCAGTCATCAAAACTATGATGTAGCTGGGCAAAAGTAAATTAAAAAGAAAGAGGAATCACACCACCGCTTTATGAGATCTGGACTCTAGTAGAACATACTCAGTTGTTTAATTTTCACTTGATATGGATGCCTCATGGTTAGGACACTAGATCCACAATCTATGTGTTGTGAGGTCAAAACTTGTCACCAAAAATGCTCATTCTTCCAGCTGTGAAGGCATTATAAAGTGATGGTCAATCCCAATATTCATTGGTAAAGAGTAACCAGCAGTTGGTGGTGGATAGTATTTTCTAGCTTCCTTTCATCTAGTCTCTCATTTCAAAATTAGGTATGACTAATGCAGATAGCCCTGGAGCAGACTTATGTCAAATTTAACATATGTTAAAGCTTTTATTTAGCCAGACATTATTCTATTAGGCCTCCTATTTGTGCCATTTCAAGAGGTTGATGGTCCTTTTTAAATATGCAGACCAAGACTGAACATTACTTTTAATAAGGTGTAACCAGAGCCTGATATGTATCTTGATCTTAAAGTATCAGTAGATTAAAGCATAGTGTGTAGTTTGTAGTAATAATCACAAATGCTTAGTCAAAGGAATCACACTATTCTTAGAAATTGTATACATATCTTTTTCCCTTTCTAAAACATCAACATTCTTCTTCCATAACTGGTATGCTCATTGTGAACTTTCTCGATTACTACTTTTTGAAAGATTGTAACATGTTTCATGTAATCAACTAATTATTAAGCTTGTTAAAATCTATCAGAATCATCTTTCACCAGCATTCCTGTTGTTATTAAAATAATATTTATTAATCAATTAAAAGTAACAAAGCTTGAAAAACAATACTAGTCTTGCTCACCCGGCTAGAAAACTGCCTTTCAGGAAAGGTGCATTCCCTCTGGTATTATTATATATCCATGTTTGTTTGTTTTTGAAATATGAAATGACTTCTGATTTACTTACTTACCTTGTTTTCTGTAGGATTATTACTTTTCCTTTGTTGTAGTTATTGTCATAACTATCTTCTTTTGTGGTCAAACTTGTTTCTAAGTGATCACTCCCTCAGAATAGACCTTCTTGGCTTAATTCTATAACATTATAGAAATTACTTGAAAATCTTTATTCAACTAACCTTGCAATTAGCTCTCTTGTTAGCAAGTATTCTTCATCCTTCTTATCACATCAGTCAGATATGATTCTGTTGAAGAGTATAAGAAACACTGTAAGTCATCCACTATAATCAACTTAATGCTGCTGTTTCTGTTTCACCTTTTTCATTTGTTTTTGATGTGGTGAATAACTTAATTTTGTTTTGTGTTCATAAGATGACCTCTGGCTCATTAGGCCAGTCAGTTGAAAACAGCTAAAACCTAGATGGCTGTTGTACTGTAACTGCTGTTGCTAAGTTCTGAAATGTAGCAAGTAAGAAATTGTTCATAAAGATAGTGATACTGAAGCTGATAAAGTATTTGTGAACTAAACTGAAATTGAGGTTTGAATTTTTTAGGCCTTACCACTTTTAATTTAGTACTGAATATTATGGAATAATTTTATGTATATCAGGCAAACTTACTGTAAGAAAAATTATTTTGACAAGTAACCTAACTTAGCAGTCAGAACTCCTAACTAGAAATTTTAAGATGTTCCTGTAGATATCTGAAATATAATTTTTTCCTTAGAAGGTATGATATTCCCACCTTCCATTATGAGAGATTCTGAGTTTGACCTTTTGAATATAACCCTAATCTGTGTTACAAGTACCCAAAAATGGTCATGTGAACACTTGATTGTAAGAGTATTTCATAGTATTTTTTTTATGGTAAGTCTCATTGTTTTGGTGGTTGTCTGGACAATTTAATTTTGTATGATGAATGTCATTCAATTCATTTGGTCAATCCTCAGAGTCATTTGGTACAAGAGAATTTGGGCATATAAAAGTTGTACTTAGTGTCACTAGTGCAAAAGCCTGAAGACTCATTCAGCTTATGATCTTTAGGTAATCCATACAGTTCAGGGGGTTTCGAATGAGATGGTCTAAGATTGTTTATAAGCCAATTGTTTAGCTTTTTTTTTCCAGTTCAATCTGACATGCCTCTAAGGTCCATAGTTTCCATATGCAACTCTCCATTAGCATTTTTATCTTGGCAACTTGGAAAGCTACTTCACCCTATCCTCAACAATATCCCTTCACACCTAAATAGCACCAATGACTTTCTCAACAGGCTATGTGAAGATGGTTTACAGATGAGTTCAAACATTATGCTATTTATGCTTCATGTCATCTCTATGTACCATTCCATTCTCATAGAAGAAAGTCTCAGTTATGAATCTTATTAAATTGGCTAGACTTTCTACTGCTAATGATACCCCTACAGAGCTCATCAAAAATTCTCTCAGGTTTGTTCTCAACACCAGTTACTTTAAATTCAACTCTATAAACAAACCCAAGGTGTCACTATGGTGAACAATATTGCTGTTGTTTTGGCCTCTATCCTTATGCGTTTATTTGAATCAATAGCTCTTACTCAGAGGAATTTTGAAATTTATCTTGAACCAGCTAGGTGGTGCAGATATATTGAGGACATTTTCAGTATATGGAATCATGGACTTTCATCTCTTTTGGACTTTGTTGAATTCCTTAATAATCAACACCCCAACTCCAAGCTTACACTTACCCATACTGATAACATGTAGAAGTCTGTACCCTTTCTTGATGTCATGGTCACTATTGAAAACAGCAAACTTATTACTACCATATATTCCAAACCATGTGTTAACCCATTATTCTACACTATAACTTACACCAGCTACCAAATGGGGTGTCATTATAGAGGTGGTCTTTTTAGGTAGATTTGTGACTGAATCTAGTGGCAGTGCCATTCTTGATGATTCTTTGGAAGTAGGCTTGACAGGAAACATGGGCTCCTTGGCAGGTTATTTTTCTGCTGCAAAGTTCTTCTCTGGATTTGCCCAGTTGGCTATTCTCTCACTGACATACTCCCAAAGGTTATCATGGTTGATGATCTTTGGCTTTGACTGCCTTCCCTTCTATATTTTATAAACCACATCATTGATGTTTCTCAGTACAACATCTGCCCCTTCCCAGCACCTGCCTGATTAATTTTATAGAGTTTGTCCTTTTTTGCAGTAGGGTTTCTACAGCCATACAATGTCACTTTGATGGAATCTAGTCTTATCAGCACAAACATCATAGAGACTAATCACTAACTGATTTAAGTCTTTCTTGGGTAAAGTCATATATGGTATTCTGTAATCTTTCTACATATTCTGTGTAAGACTTCTGAGTGACTGTTCTCCAGGTTTGAGTGTAGAACATCCCATGACACTATAAGTTTTTCCCAAACATCAGTGATGATGGT